TTTTTATTTAGTCACGGTTCATCCTTACAATCAAACATATTTTTATACATTTTTAGCTCCCTTCATTAAAATGAAAAACATTTGGTGATGGATTTTATTAAATGCGCATTGGCCTTTGAATTCGTATATGTGTAAATACTAATATTTCCGAAAATGCTTATTAGTTTAGAATTCCGTGGTTTGGACTTGGAATTACACTATCGATAATTATTTTCGAGTAATAGTTGAATTTCATATCTGATATGAAGAGAAAAAGAAGGTTTATGAGAAACAGTTGTTTTATTTTTTCTGTTATTTTGAAAGACATTTGTATTTAATGGGCATTTGATATCGACGATGTATCCAAGTCTTCTCAAAAGTCACACTAAAGTATTAAGGAAAATGGTCTCTTGATTTTTTTCAGTAAATACGAACAGCTCAAAAATTCATATGCAAAACAATTAAAACTGAACATCAGTCCGAAAAAAATTTAAACCTCAAAAAAAATCTTTAAAAACGTTCTTTGCCTTATGTACTTTACAACGATTCTAAGACTATGCATAATTATAATAATAAGTAGTAATATATTGTGTAAAATAATAAATAATGGTAATATCCTATTCAAAACGTTGACTGTTGCTTACACTGTCAGAAATTTCGTACTATTTTGATATATTTTTTTTTAATTAGTATTGATAATATTCGATATTAGTTTCACTTATTAACAAAGTCAAGCGCTCATGTAGCAGAAAAAGAGCTCATAGTGGTAGTAGTTGAGGTACTTAAATAAACGACGAGGAAAGAAAGAGAGAGAGAAAAAAGGGATGTTGAAGGTGATGAAAAATCAAGTGTGCAAGTCAAGTGGGGATGTAAACCATATATAATAGGTGCTTGCAAGGGGCACGTTTACTGCACATACGTATCTCCCTCTCCCCCCTGCACACAACCGCCACACACTCAAAAACTCTTGAATGCTTTACTCAAAGTAAGGACAACCCCATCAAAGTGGCCTATTTTCTTTCTAAACATTTGTCACGTTAAAATGTCCATTGGTTAATTGGAAAATTACTTACAGGAGAGACGAATCACACTAAAAAAAAATCGCTTAGAAATTGTTCATCGGGTATCATCTCAGTTTATTAATATTGAGTATAAATATTATGCTTTGCGTTTTTTGACTCTACTCGTTCGCTGATATGTTATCTCTACTTTTTGTGGTCAAGTGCTAGATTACAGCTTGAAAAATATTAATGGCACGATCTATTAAAAAAGCTCCTATTTTTGATCGCAACGAAAATTATGTGTATCTTTCTATACTTCAAAAAATGGTAAAACGCACTCTTGGGACAAATTTTTATTGGCAAAAGTGTAAAAAAATAATTCATCTCAAATATGCTACGCCATTAATTAAAGCTACGATCATGCCGATATTTCTGCACGCGTGGCACTTGAAAAGAAAAAGAAAAAAAAAACAAAAAAAAGGGTGTAAGAGTTACCCTTGTCAACCTCGTCGTCTTGCCCCTTTAATAATCGCAGGACAATTAAGATCGGCTGGCAAGATTAAAGGAGTGTACTCATACTGGTACGCTTCTTGGCTCGACAAAATGCATTATCGCACGCCTTCTGAATGCTTTTTTTTTTTTTTTGGCTGGGATTTTCTTCTTCTTCTTCTTACGAGTCTCGAAGGAGTTTGTACTCTTTTGTCTATGGTACAGGTGGTAAGGGGAGTCTTTCGCATTAAGAAAGTTCGAATAATCAATTTCAAAACAATAGGAAAAATCAATTTATCTTTAAAACTTGTCAGGACTGAATAAAAAACTTTGGAGCTTTTTTAAGTAGAAAATACATCACCCTACAAAATTTAAGACAGGGTTGACAAGTAAAATCCTTCTTAAAAGATTAATGGGTCACGCGATGGAGTGTGTTTATTCGAGATTTTATTAGTAGCCTAGGCTGTTGCCCGTGGTCTGTTCATAGCGGGTCAATAAAACAGTATGAGTTTGGGTAACGACAACAATAATTTTACTTTCAACGTTAAATAAAAGTAAAATTATGTATTTAAAAAATTGCATTATTTTAATTGTTAAATTGCACTTGAAAAATTTCAGAAAGTGTTTCATAACATGGGTTGGTGTGATAAGCGCACCCTTTTTTGTTACGAAAAAAAAAAGTATGTATACCATAGTCTATCGTGGAACGTATTTTTTTGGCGTTTATATAGTATTAGAGGTAGTAAGACTTTTGCTACGACAATAAAAAAACCAACACAAAAAAAATGATGTAATCCTCAATCGATCCATATAACCAGCCAGTACAACGACTCACGTTTTAAGCAGTTTTCTTAACTATATACTTATCAAAAATAAAACTTAATTTAGCGTAAGTGAAACGTCACATTATAATATGTCTTCTAAATCAATAGTGTGATACTGTTACTTTTTTTAAAACAAATAAAGTCAAATTTAATGTGATTTACAGTATTTGTGAATTTGCATAATTGTTACACCTTTCTTTGATGATTGGAGCCTGACTTTAGAACTACAAGACTCTAAATGTAACTCGATTAAAAGTCCGGAAATGGGGATACGCGTAAGTATAAACATCTCATGGTTTTTTCAATTTCAGAATAAAAAATCTGATTTCATTCAAACTTGGCTAGTACATTGCAAAACATTGTTATTTTGCATGTATTTATTATAATATATTTGAGAAAACTGAAACAAAATGATACTACATCGTTTGGAAAATTTTACGATGTACCCAGAATTGCTGGAAGTAGAAAAAAGTTATACACACACATACGATACAATATATGTATATGATAATGGTGTATAATACACGAAAAAATGAGGTAGCATGAGATAGCAGTACTTTGTGTGGTAAGACGATATCCCGTGAAACATAATCTACAAAAGCTTTCGAGGCCTCACCACCAGCAGCAGTGGCCGTATCTCCGCTGCTGGCTTTCTTTCTTTCTTTCTTTCTCTCCTACACGAGACAATGAAGTAACGCGATCTTGGCTTTATGTATATATAAATACGTACTCAAAAAGTGGACGCTGGTAGACGATAAGCAAAGAGGGAGAGAGAAAGTCAACTGTGCAGTGTTCGTTGCTGACTAATGGCTGCAGTACATTTTTGAACTGTACGTTGATTTCGTGCGTCACGCGCCCGTATAATGATGGTCAAACGTAATATTTACAATTAAGTGCTTACATATATAAAAGCCAAAACAAAAAAGTTGTGATACATTTAAAAATTGAAACAAAATATTTTTTTTCTTTTTCTTTTCATGCATTAAATATATTTATTTAAATTATTATTTTGCAAAACAAACACTAGATAGTAATAAATGTACACAAAAGTTTACATTAAACACTTGGTATTTTTATTACATACTGTACTTAAAAATGTAAAAAAAAACCTTTTTATTAAAATAATCATAACGTATAAATGTATACTCGTATTTTTTGAGACAGATCTAAAAAATCATTAATTAGAAAGTAAAATTTTTACTTGGGAGAAAAAAAAAAGTGAAATAACGTGGGAAAGCTGTACGCCATGGAGAGCACGAAAACACAATAATAGTTATACTTAAAAGTTGTTTTGCACATCAGCGACACGTTTTTTCTGATCTATGATTTTATTATTCTTTGGAAAGAACGATCGGGGCGGTAGTACGCAGCTGAGGAGAAATTACTCGAGGCACGAATAATATTTTAGCCAACGGAGGATGTTGCGTGACCGGGACAAGTTCCCCCGAGTAAAAAATTAAGCCCGTAAGAGTCATGAATAAGGGACTAGGAAACTCTTGTGCTACTAGTTGTGAAACAAAGTTTCGGAAAAAAGAAAAAAAAAATTCCTAAAGCCGTAATCCAACACGGTCGTTAAATAAAAGTCAAAAAACACACGGGCGTAACATAACTTTGCCGGAAAGGTTTTTCCATGCCTTTTTTATACACTTTTTGTTTTTATTCGTGCAATCAATAAACAAAATACACGTGCTCTGAAAATGTTGACTAATCAAGGACAAAGAAATCACATGTAATATTTTTTGTATGCCAAACCCTTGCATTGACAAAAACTAAGTTGTTACGTATAGGAGAAGGGCACACAGAGGTATACAATTGACTTCTTTCAATAAGATTTTTTCTTGTTTTTTTTTTTTCGCATTTCAGCTGCACACTCAGCACAACACATTTTCATTCAAAAGAATCCAAACCACAAAAATTTGTTGCTTTTATAATCAGGGTCTCAGGTGGCACCTTTGAAAAATGCGTTATTCAAATTTTACTTTGTCTCTCGTGTAAAAAAAAATTTTCTACCGCTTTGACTGCACATGTGCACACACGCCTGAATACTAATGTAAACAAAGATGTGTGAAAAGTAATGAAAAGTAGATGTTTGCGTGTTATTTATTCCACACATGTTGTTCAATACATTTTCTCCTCGAAAAATCGCCAATTTTTGCCTGTGCAGTAGATGTGGGAATTTTCACTCGCCCATCGTTCGGTTAGAGACTGTTTAAACCAAATCAAAGTATTTCAATAATCTACTGGCCGAAATTTGTATAACGTTCGGTATGATGTAACCCTAGTCGACAAAAGTTAGCGATCCGCAGTCGATGGATTGCGAAACTTTGGGATTCCAAAATAAGAGCCGCCATTTCGTTGTTGGAGGTCCAGACCTCGTGTTGAGCACACCGAGATACCCACCACTGTTTCCTTCAATTTCACGAGTACTTTTGATCACTCGTTATTGGAGATCACTTTTTCCTCGACTTTTTCCATCTGCATTTTTCTGCTTTGTGACAAGGAATTTTTTTTTTTTTTTTTAGGAAAAGTAAGACGCCTTCATAAGTGCAATCTCACGTTAAACCCGGCTAAGGAATAATTAACAACAATGCTTGTGTAAAAAACAGTAGTTAAATAAAGTTAAATAATTTTCTTGGTTACTATTATTATTTTATTTACAATTTATATCACAACATTTTAGAAGATTCACTTCATGAACCCCCCTTCCTCTCCTTCCTTATGCGAAATCCGTACTCCAAACTCACGACTGCATGTCTAATCTATCGTTGTTACTTGTACTATTATTATTACGATTATTGTTCAACTGTTCCTGTGCCATTAAACTGGTCAACAAATGATTATGAATATTTCGACGAAAAGCATTAGTATCTGTCGATGCTTCGTTCGAAACTAGGGATGAAGACGATGCCAATGATAACGATGAAGATGTCGACGACGACGACGATGTTGTCAACACGGAAACACCATGGCTCCCAAGCCCACGGATAGCATTGCCTTCATTGAACATCACCACCCGGCGCAATAAGTTTTCCGTTGGTGTCATTTGCCTCGTGCTACTTAATGGATCTCGTTCTGCATTGCCGTTGATGTTTGGTTCATTGCTGATATTGTTGTTATTATTGCGCACATCGGTGTTAATCTGCAACGATCGGCTGCTTAAACTCGAATCCGAATGGACGCGTCTGACGCTGCTAGGCTGGCCTAGTAGGTTTGATGAATCAAGTTGTCGGTAATTCGAGACGTACGGATTGTGTCTAATATGGCCTAAATTATGCAGATATGTGATACGGCGCGCAAGAATTGCACGTTCCATACTGTCGATGCGATTTTGCTGTCTGAGAAACGACTGAGGCAACCAGTCGGGGGTTCCGTGCCTGGTGCGATTGTGCGGGTGTTGGGGTTGAGTTAGCGACCCGTTGTTGACCACGTCGCTGGCGCCAACGGAATTGCTGCTACTACCATTCACAGGAACACTCGCCTCGCCTTGGGATGCTATTAAGGATCGATTGTTCAATCTAAGTGCCAAGTTTGAATTGGTATTGATGTCTGGATTTTCCGCTGCAGTTGGAGCCAGCTGATTCTCTTGGATGTCTGAAATGTAATCATATCATTTTAGTATTTGCACCAACTAATTGAAATTATTAGTCCAAATAAAATTAAAACTACCCATAGGTAACCACGGCCTGTAATTTGGCGCTGAAGACATTTGGTTCCTATTGACCACGGCCGATAAATTTGAATGCCTGTTGTACTCTGCTATCATTGGCACATCGTTAAAAGTGACCCTTGATGGTCTACTTGAGGTCAAGGGCACATCCATCACATTATTGGCCACGTATGCCTGCCTTTGGATCATTTGCGACGACATAGGTACCGTAGCTTGCAAGAACCTTCCTAAATTGCTACTATTTGCATTGCCACTGTTTGTACTGCTGCTGCTGCTGGCGCCACTACCATCATTAGATGACTGAGGCCTTTGGTTCACAGAATAGTCCCCAGCCTGAGCGTTAATGTGATTCCCTCCACTGTTTCTAGTCCTTAGGCAACTTCTCATCCTCGTCGCCGATCCGTCGTTTCTGTTATTCGGGTTGTATGGATGCTGACGCTGGCTTTCTCGTGGTATCAAATGTTTATATTTATTCAATTCTTCTGCAGTTAGTTCCCTAGCATCTGAATCAATCCGATAAACAGGAATTTGATTGTAAGGTTTATGTTGAGGTGCGAGTGCACTTGGTTTATCGTTAGTAACTTCCTCGTTTACATCAAGATTCTTAAACAAAAACAAAAAATGTTTTGATTGATACAAATTAAAGTATATTTTTAAATTCTTACATTACACAATTTTGTACCTTTGATTCACTTGGATTGACAAACGCTTCTCTACAAAGTTCTGATATTCCTTTCCTTGCTATTTTACTGCTGATTCTGTAATCTATATCAGGCACAACTTGATCTTCTTCTTCTCCAATTGGAGCAGGCACTTTGAATGTTGATATTATTAAAGATAATTTGTCAAGCACTTGGATCGCAGTAAAGCGTTTGCTTGGTTGAAGGTTCAATAAGTTCTTGATTAACGAAACAGTTGCATCGGAAATTCTACCATCACTAAAAAAAGCAAGAAGCACGATGAAAGAATGGTTTGGCAAAAGCCAAATAATTGAATCAAACTCACGCTGGTAAGCAGTAATTGGCAGCTTTAATTTTATTAAATAATTGTGTGGGATTACTATCATAAAACGGAAATTGCCCATATAACATTGTATACAATACAACCCCTAAAGCCCACATGTCTGAAGGTTTTCCAAGATATGGCTTTCCACACAATACATCTGGAGAAATGTAAGCAGGAGATCCTCTTTGATCTTTTAGCAAATCACTCTCACTGGCCAAATGTTTGCCTAAACAAAAGTTGGTGATGGTTACCTGCAAATTCGAAACAAGACACAAAATTCTTTCAATAAATCAAACAAATTTACTGCCATTGATATGAGAAAATATCAATTTGAATGTTACCTTTCTCGTTTGTCGATTCAAAACTAGATTACCTAGTTTAAGATCTCTGTGCACCACATTTTTTTCATGTAAACACGCTACGATTCTTACAGTATCAAAAAATATAAAAAGACTCTCTTTTTCAGTCAACTTCTTTTCTCTTATAACATAGTGCTGCAGTATTATGAACTCATCGCCACTGAATTCATGACACGCCAAGTAGTCAAGTACTAGACACAGCCTTTGCCTAGTTTTACCAGTATATACAGAATTTCCAGAACTCGTGACCTCTTCCTCCAAAGCACAATCCTATGGTAAAATAATTCTCTTGTAAAGGTACATTTTATAGATGTGTTGGGAGATAAATCATGATCAAAAAATTAAATTTCACCTACCTTAAAAAAACCATGATGGTGCACAACTCCATCTTGGTTTTGTAAAAGACTCAGCAAAGAATATTCAGAATGAAGCAACATCTTTCCTTGCCTGTCATCCTGAGTCTCATGTTGCATGGAATCCTTTAAAGTCAAAATCTTCATGGTATAAAATTTATCCGTTCCCTCTCTTCTCGCCAAACATTGTATAATACTTTTAACTGGTGATGAGCCCATGATTGGCCCCAGTATGTATGGACCAGCTTTTTTGACAATCTTTGGTGGAACCAAAGTTCCTGGCTTTGGTACCTCAATGTCAGAAAGGTCATTATTTTCCTTCTGACTTTTTTTCAACACCAAGCTTTGTTTGGATTTATCACAGACATGTTGGTTAGGAGATTCTACAGCACTTTTTTCTACAGACTGATTCAGCCTAACATTCATATCATTATTTACAACTATGGGTTCTGATGATGCATTTCTAATGCCACTAGTTTCCATACTTTCAACAGAAACAGAAGCTGCCAACAAAGTAATGCACTCTGCATTGTTGGAACTCAACATGTTGCCAGTAAGACACTTATTATTTATTCGTTACCATTTTGTACATACACAAACTTTGTCCAAAACTTATACTGGTTGACATTTTCGCAAACTGCTTACAAAGGTCCATTTATTCGGTTTTTCGGATACGTGGGCACACGAACCGTCAAGTTGATTACAAGCTATACATATAATAAAAAAGTCATCAAAAGTTTTTGCATTTATAAAAAATGGTTAAAATCGGTTTAACTTTGTAAAATTCATCATAGTTTACACATCACGACATCACTCACTTATGTCAAACTTAAATTATAGCCTAACTTGATGAAGGCAGAAAATTATTGAAGGTTAAGACACTGCTTTTTTTTATTTATTCGTTCCTTGCACATTGCGGCGAAAATTGGAACTTCGATAGCTAATTACGGTATTAATATAGTACGTATTTTTAAAAAACTCGAATTCAGGTATATCAAAACTTGGAATCCGCAATTATGCACAGATCCAATATATATCTGCTCAGATAACAAAATGAGTTTTCATGATTTTAGTTAATATTTAAAACAAAGTTTTAAATGCCAAGTAGTTACCTACATTTTTACAGATCGAGAAGAAAAAATTGTGTTTTTCTTTTTTCATCTTTGTCGTCACCCTTTGTAAAAGTTTTGAATACGCAGTAAATGTACTAGTATGATTGCTAGTAATGATTTCGCTAATTGTATTATTAAATTTGAACTTTTATTGAAACTAGAGTTTGTAGAGAAAATGATAAAACCAACAATATTTGTATAAATAAGTCGGGTATCCGATTNAAGAAAAGTTGTTGATATCGATTTTCTACGAGTTTTTACGGGATAGACGAATCAGCTGCTCTTATCGATGCCCATACATATATTAATCCAGCGAGAGACGACTATGTGCATTTGTACAAAAAGAAGGGAGATCGGTAAAAAAAAAAAAAAAAAAAAAAAAAAAAAAAAAAAAAAAAAAAAAAAAAAAAAAAAAAAAAAAGTAAAAATTGTCGATCGAATTAAAAAAAAAAAATCATAAAATGGAATGAAAGTATGAGGAAACTTTATTTTTCTCAAAATGTTTCATGACGACTTCAAATTCGTTTGGTTGTTTTCTCTTTTAAATTGAAGTAAGTATATTAAATGATAAGTCATAAATCACACACATATTTGCAACCCATCAACACGCGCAAAATGTAATTTAAACAAAAAAAAATGGATATATTATAATTACGCAATTAGAAGCTACACAAGGAGTTTTTCGTTGTTTTATATAATCAAATGCACTTTTATCTGTAGATCATACATTTTGAGATACAAAGCGAATTTATGTAGAGAAAAANAAAAAAAAACAAATAATAATAATAAATAAAGCACCTAGAAAATTGTATGGCGAACATTGTTTCCTTCAATTAAGTGTCCCTGCATTTAAAGTAGAGTTGATAATGCGCCTACAAGTTGTAAACTCTGATAATCGTGACCGTAGAATTATCTCCTCCCTCGTATAAGTCGGATGAATAAAAAATTTACAATAAACGCCGGAGACTTTTATGTTTAAAAACATACGTTCACTGCACGAGAGCCTCTCGCAAGGATGTCCGTATAGTTTTATTTGCACGCATCATCAGCCGAAAAGGTAAAAAAAAGGAAGGAAGGTAAATCGTTAAAAAAAAAAAAAGGAGGGTGTAGATTTAGCGTCCTGATAAAATGGTGTCATACGGCAAGCGGCAGGTGTCGATTGAGATTGTAAATTCATGAATACACCGCACGCCATGTACTTACGGAGTGTGACTTCTTTATTGTGGCAAAAGAGAGAGATAATGACGACAATCTCAACTTGACTCATCGACCAATTTTCGAAAATCTCAGTAAAAAAAAAAAGCCATCATCATTACCAATCTTTTTGCTGGAGAAGACGCAAAACAGTACATGTAAAATAGATCAAGAGGATATTAAGGAGGTAAGGGGAAGTCTGGGTATAGCCTCTCGAAAAATAAATCGAGCATGAAAGCAAGTTGGAACCCGATCGAGCCCATACTACAAAAAACAAAAAAAAAGCCACGTGACCGGCAGGTGTACGCCTAAGTAAAAGGGCAACAGCAGCGGTCGTGGTACCTATATAGAAGAACCGGTCTTCCATACGCATACACATCTTTTCCGGCGCAAGTATATATATATATTTAGTACGGCGAGCGCCTGCACCTGCCAATGATGTCGATGGCGAAGTCATGTATATTATATACTCGCAGAAAGCAAGGCTTTATTTTTCAAAGGATAATTTAAGGGAGAACACGACGTTGGATTCTCTTTTTTTTTTTGCCACCCCCACGACCCCCCTCGTTTTTTCTCTCTTCGGCATAGGTACCTCGTGCTTGTTATAACCAGTGGGTACACACGTAAAATTATCTTTCTTTTTTTCAATTTGTTTCATTGCATTAAAAAATATTTGTAACCAATTGTCAAGTTGGCGAATTTTACATTTGCGTGGCTTGCAAGTCCAGTTTAAAGATTTTCAAGACCTTTTCGGGTTGTCAAAGTTTTTTTTTTTTCGAATTCGTCGCGTCTGTGGTGGTGCAACTTACTCCCGTTAGCCGGAAAAAAAAAGAAAACCAACGAGACAACTTTAATGAATTTCGGACATAAAAACTGTGGACAACTTGGAGTCGATCTACAGTTTTTTTTTCTTTTATTTCGAGTACTCAGGGTAATAGGCCCTTGTCAAAATAAATCGAATCTGCAACAACTACTTTTATATATTATACAACCTGACGTATATATTATATGATAAATATGTATACCTATCTATATTCAACTTTTTTTGTGTGAGCTATTAGATATGACAAAAAATAATATTCGGTCTTCATTTGTCTGATTACCTATAGACTTTTGGATGTAATCTAGATTGTACTCTAACGGTTAAAATATTAGTACACGAATCTGAAGTTTACTATATGTATAATACCATGCAATGATTAATGAAGGACATAAAGCATTTTTACAGTAGTTTACTTCTTTGATGCATACAATAAATCGTCTTTGAAATGCCATTTTTTATTTTTCACATCTTTAAATGATAAAAAAACAAAGAAAAAAAATAAAAAAGAACACATCCTAATCAGAGCCGCAATAGATCAAACCTTGCGAGAAAAATATTGTTTATAAAATATTATAATAGCTGTAAAACGAAACGAAGATAACAATAATAGGCTACTGTGATTTCATTAAAAAAAATTGTTTTAATCATTTTTTACCTCGTTCGATTTGGATGTACAACAAGTAATATTTGATAAGTGTAATATACGAAAACTGTAATATTTTGGTGATCTCGGGATTCTTCAAGACTTTTTGTTTTAGCATTAATTGAAGATAAAGTATCGAAATAGCACGCGAAACGCGTTTCAATGCGTCTTCGTGTATATACAAAGTGTATCCCACAACCACTCGACCACACAAACACAAATGCGTGCGTGCGTGCGTGCGTACACATCAAAGCACGCACGAGCACATATATGTATATACGTATATATGAGCATCTGCGGGCACACGTGAGAAGAAAAAGAAAGATGAACGCGTGCCATCTGCCGGTATTTGTGTTCTCGGGGCCCGGTTTATTCCTCCTGCTTGACTCTTATTTTCTCGTTTCTCGAGGCCATATATTTTTCAACCAGATTCTGTAGTCCCTGCTATCTTTCTCCCTTTTTTTTTTTTCTTTTTTCTTCTTTTCGCAACGTGTGTGCGAGCACGCACGAGATGAACTTTCAGGAGATTGCGTGTGTCGGTATATATACCTGTGTACCTCCTCTTTTTCTTCTCTCCTTGCAGATCAAGTTCTTCGTCTCGAAAAGGTATTTTTATTTTGCCTTTATGTACGATTTGGTCACTGATTTCAAGTATACTTACGTATGATTTACACAATGATTCGATAATTATTGTTTATGTAAAAAAAAAAAAAATAAGAAAAGTAGATGAAAAAAGGTAAGAATTGTTAAAAAAGTTTTTTTAATTTTAAAGAAAAAAAGAAGAAAAAAAATGTAACTTGATCGTAGTAGGTACCTAATCATTCAAGTCTTTTCAACCTGCCACAAAGAGATTAGTTTGAAAAAATCATACCGACTTGAATAGTCTCCCCAAGTTTTGAAAGTCTTTTATGCTTTCGTACGCACCCGAACACACACTGTTAGAGCTAAACTTGTAGTCAAGCTCATTTATGCATCGGAACATGATGGCTTATAGTATTAAAAATGAAACACGTGCAAGACAAATGCTGTGTACGGTAATTTTATTTTATTTTATTAAAAAGAAAAAAAAAAAAAAAAAAGAAAAACAATCCAAGTAGTAATGAGTAATTGTCTCAAGTATCAATAACGCTCCAAGTGTCTTTCTCTTGATTGTAAAAGGGTAGCTGCTTCAGCGACGACGTTGCGTTGGTGGCAGCCTGAAAAAAAAAAAAGACTTTGTAAAATGAGTGGGTACATATACATACATAATTAAAACACGCGTTTAACGAGTGTTAAGAAAAAAAAAAAAAAAAAAAAAAAAAAAACAGTAAACCACATACGCTTCGAACAGATTCGTCCCTGTCCTCCACGAGGTTCTCGAGCAGGGTCCTCAGTGATTTTCCCCAGATGCGCTGCAACGTGTCCCTACTAAACTTCCCGAGCAGCAAAATCAAAACACAGACGCGCGTCCGCATCTTGCTCTGTCTGTGCGTCATGAGCTTCGTGAATAGATCCACCAGATCGTCTACGCAACAACGAAAGGAACAAGGTAAGCGGATACGTAAGGTACGTAAAAAAAATACAGGTGGACAGTAAATATGGGAATTACCTGTGGACCGAGCCCTCAAGAGTACCTGACCGACGAGGTCGGTGTTGCCGGTCTCGGAGCGCAATACCTCCGACAGTATGGCCACCAGGTCGGCCACTATCCTAGGCCGCCGCCTTTCCAACTTGAGCAGCTGCTGTAACATGTCGAGCCCGTCGGCGACGAGGAACACCGCGTCGCAGAACTGACCGAGGAACTCCTTCTTCGCGTGAACCAGTCGACAGAGGATCAACACCGTGCTTTCCAACGCCTACGGGTCGTGGTGGTGGACGTATATTTGCATTAGCACGTTCATGCGGGTAGTTAAAGTAGGTATGTAATATATGTGCGTAACAAGCCTGCAATTCGTCGGGCGTGAGGGCGCAGGTGAACCTCGACCTGTTGGCCGTGGAGGTGGAGGTGTCGGTGGTCGGGTGGTTCTTCTCGGCCATGAGAAGCTTGACCGCGTAGACGAGGCTCGGCACGACCCTTGCGTCCAAGTAGACACGCTGGATCCTCTCGAGGTCGTCGGCGGTGACGCAGTCGAGGACAAAGGGCAGGGAGAGCAAGCACGCCACGTACTCGTGGACCCGACAACTCGCCCCGGGATTCTTCAAGGTCGACACGAACACCGAGACGCAATTGTCCTGCAGCAGGGTGTCTATCTCGCCGTCCATCATCTCTTCCATGGATCGTTGCAGGAAGACCATCCACTCCTCGTTCTCGATCGGCTGCTCCAGATCCGTGGCCGTCCAGTTTTTCAACCTCGCTTGTCTTTCGGCCATGTTCTGCACGGTCATTCGGATGAGAAACCCAGGCTGGGTGGAATAACCAAAATAGTAGGAAAAACAACTTGCCGTGTCGAGATCCACGTGTCTCTCGCTGCTCAGTCTGATGGACGACGCGTTGGTGGTTTGCTTGGACTCGCCGACATCATCCAGGAGGACCTCGTCGTCTTCCTCTTCGAGCAAGTTCTTGAGACAACTGGGCGAGGTCGAGGTGTTGGCGGCCGACAGGCAGCAGCAGGACTCGGACCTGCAGGTATTTTTGCCCGCCAGGCAGCAAGCGGCTGCCCCAGCTGTGGCCGCCGCCGCGTTCGCGTGATCCAGTAGCCACTCGGCTGCCAGGCTCGGGTTCGCCGCTTGCAGTGCCGCCAGACAACAGGCCGGCGGAGGTACCTTGTTTTCCCAAAACACGAGTATAATATCCAATGGGGGGGGGGGTAGGGTGGAGGGAGTGACACAAGGTGGTGGTGAGATTATTAATTTACGAGTAGAGGGTTGTCGGCAGGTGGTGCCTCGGCGGCCTTGTAGATCTGGTGCTGTTGGTCGGCGTTGAAGTCCTCATCGGCGATGGGACAGTCGGTCTCGCAGATGGCGTAGTCGGCCGCGAGCAGGTCACTCCTCAGCGAGGCCCGGAGACTCAGGTTGTTGAGGAGCACGTCCACGCTGGCGCTCGACTCGGACCCGCTGGCCTCGCTCTTCCGCATCACTTGCGAGTGGATCTTCTTTATCTGCTTTTCCAGCAGCTTTCTGCCGGGGACCGATAAGCCTTCACTTTTTTTTTTGTTCCGTTTTGCGAATGATGGGTTGTTTTATTTACTTTGATTGGCTGGTGAAGCGAGAGGCCAGACTCTGGAGTTGTTGTTGCTTGGCGCGGGCCTGACTAGCGGAAAGTGGCGAGGTAAGGGCGCGCGGGGCGTCCTCGTCGATCGTCAGAATCCGGCCTTTGACGAACGGGTGATCCAGCAGTTGGGGCCAAGTGAGCCGCTGGCTTGGATCTTTTTGCAGCAGACCCTATATATATATATACACGGCGAGAGCACAAGTATACATAGAGTGCAAAGATTCCGCTTCGAGAAATTCCAGGTAATATATGTATACCTGAAGGAAACTCGTGAGGTTGGCACTGATGTTCTCGGGCCACTTGATGTCCTCGTTCCTGATGAGCTCGATGAGCTTGCGCATGGAGGTCGTCTGGAACGGGGGCTTCCCCGTTATCAGCTCGAAGCAAATGCAACCAAGGCTCCTATATAATATTTATTGGGGTGTATTTTTTTTTTTTTTTCGAGCGAGATATCGTGAGAAAAATGGCGCGTACCACAAGTCCACGTTGTGGTCGTAGGGGATCTCCTCGATGAGCTCGGGGGCCATGTACAGCGGCGTTCCTTTGACGGACATGAGGACCCACGTGTCGTTCATGCACCTCGCGAAGCCAAAGTCGCAGAGCTTGGCCACACCGTTTGGATCCAGCAGTACGTTCTGCGGCTTCATGTCCCTGGCAAAAGCCCGCAAGTAAAAACGATTAATGACACGAGGTTCGAGCGTAGGTGTGGATGCACGGGGAATCACAAGTGTACCTGTGCAGTATGCGCTTGGAGTGTAGGTAGTGCAGGGCCGAGACGAGGTCGCAGGCCACCACCTGGGCCCGGACCTCCGACAGTTGGCCGGCTTTGGCCAGTATGTCGTGGAGCACCTTTTCCACGTACTCCGTCACTACGATTATCTGGCACGGATATATCGACATCGTCGTTCAGTGGGTTTTCAATGTCTCTGTTTGCGTTATTCAACATAGGTATCTACGATACTGGGTTTTTTTCTATTTCGAAATTTCATGCGGGATAATCAGAGCTGTCCAATAATAGAACACGATTTTCTCAACTAATAATCAATACACTATTTTTTAACAGTGAGTCGGGATTTAAAAATCTTTTGACGAATATTGCATAAATTAAGGCTGGAGATCATCGATTCCGAAAAATAAAGTGACCATTTCCTTGGTCTCCGATTTATAAACCGGGTAGTTCAGGTAAAGTTCTAACTGCAAGTTCAAAATGCAAAATAGTACTCGAATCCTGATGAGACCACACTTCAATAATTGGATTAAAAAGTATTGTGACCGATTTCTGGACAGCTCTGTATGTGTAAGATGTATTTTTGTCATCATCTCACTCATTAAAAAATGATAGAGAGAAAAAAATCTTGCAAGTATTCATTCGGCAAATTTGTCGTGCGCAATGAATGTACCACAGCGTGGAATTGACAATATACTACCTCGTTGTCCGTCTCGAAAGAATCGAGCATTTGTATGATGTTTGGATGACGCATGTCCTTCTGGATCTCGCATTCTCGTCTCAAGCTCTCGAGCTCTTTGGGCGTTCGGTTTTTCTGCATGGGAAGGAAAAAAAAAAAAAAAAAAAA